GAACTCGTACGGAATCGACCAGCCAATGGGCGTGTACTTCCGGCGTTCTTCCAGCGTCCTGTGCAGAAACGCCACCGCGTACAGAACCACCCTCCACTGGGTGCTGACACAGGCGTCGAGGAAGTCCTGCGAGACGTCGGAGAAGGTCTTCGCAAGTCCAGAACGCAGGCCCTCGGGAGGCTGATTTGTGAATTTCACCGAAATCTGCAGGAAGTTCACGGGGAACCTGGGGTGCTCCTCTGTGGTCACCCAGAGTCGAAAACTCTCGGGTGTTATGGGCACACCGTTCAGCATGAAAGGGCGTTCCCTCGACGTGGAATCACCCGAGTCTAGACTTGATGTCCTCAGAACGGAGCTTCGAATGGACGCTGTGCGAGTCACCTCACTCGCCGTCTTCATCTCAGTAATCAGCGTGAAGAGTTCCGTCATGTAGTCCAGACAGAGGTGGCAGTTCTGCAGCAGCACCCAGGAGCCGTTGCGCATGGCCGCCTCGATGTACTGACGAGCGTGCACCTCCTGTCCCTGACCCATCGAAATGAAGCGGAGGTCAACCTGCAGTCGCTTTGCGAGGCGTTCAATCAACAGCGTGGGATCAGCACCAACCGTGAGGAGGTTCATAATGGGCGTCTTTGCTGTCGAATCAGCATAGGTTCTAGGCAGATTCAAAGGATTCTTCATGACTACAGTCTGCATTCACATGAAGCCCCCACAAATGAACAAATTGTTGGGATGTACAGAAATGCACGACAGTGAGGAGAAAGAGCACGTGAGTTCATGGTTGAAGTACTTTGATTTACGCTAATCTGATTGGCCACTGTCAAATCATTACCCCATAATCGGATTGGTCAGATATGATATGATGCGTTACTGAAACCTGTTAGTCATTTTTGTAAACTCAACCTCGAAATTGTCGATTGTGATGAAGTTTAATGCTCAGTGGGAGGATTAGCCAGGTCAATATTGCAACACAAATCGAAACAGACCAATCGCACCGCCTCGTCTCTTCGTCGTTTGGTAATGCCACTAAAATTTTGAAACAGTTCAAAGGTCCACCTCATCCGTGAGAGATCTTACTCTTCCAAATCAAGGAGATTTTCCTCAGCAAAGGCGTATCCCAGTGTCTCGCTGATGTACTTCTTGGCCTGTCGGACAACGCGATCTGGACACCAAGTGCGAATGAGGATGAGACGCTCGAATGGCGAGAGGTCGACGTCGTAGTTGAAGGGAAAGACTTCTTCCTCTGGGGCCTCCTTGTCGTACCATCGGCGCCATCGTTTATCGTTCGACATCACCTGTAAGCGATGGGTTGAAAGAAGTCTCCTGGTGAGGTGTACAACCAGTAAAATAAGACCTTCAAGCTTCCATAAAAGGCTTGGACGTCCTCTTTGTTGAAGCTACGGAATTCTAACTGCTTCCACTACTTCTAGTCAGAGGTAATGCTAATCAATAGGACTCTTAAGTCGCCTTGAAGGTACCTGCATCCACGCTTGATCTTCTCTAAACTCCCGAACACCATTGTCCGACTTGTTGCCGCAGTTACGATTTGTGAATCAACTCACACACTGGCAGAGTTCCATGAATAGAGCTTACATTACTCATCTGGAATCACAATACCTATTTATTCATGGCAGAATCATAGGGAACGACTATTCGTGGGCTCACACCAGTGCCCATCAACTGACTCGCCCATCAAGACAAATGATTCCATCGAATTATATGCCGGGAAACTGATAAAATTTGGTTCGACAACTTGCTCAGCGTGTAGGAGTTCGCGAATGCGTGGTGTTAGCAGACCAACTGATACGATAGTGCGGCCTTTCTAGCCAAAGGCTTTTAAAAGTAAAAACCGGACTTAAGCATCATCAGGCAGAATGGTTACCTGGTCCACAAGCGATTCAAACGCGTGAATCTGTGACACAGCGTTAATATTCAACCACACATTGTCCGGAATCCACTTCGCCGGCTTCGGGGGGCAGTTGAGCAGACTCAAGGCCATGCCGCCCTTCAGAAAGATGTCCACCTCGTCCCTTCGGATACTCCGCAGTTGCAGCTCGATCCTTAAGGCGAGCGAGAGCGTGAACATGACAAAGTCCTTCTTGTACAGGCCTCTGGTGTAGAACTTCCACATCCTCTTCGTCATGTACTTGAGTATCTTGTGGATCCGCTTGGTGGCCACTGAGGCCTCCTTGGAGTGGATGAGTGAATCGTCGAAGAGTGCGAGGAACTGCCGCAGACCGGTCTCGTACATGCTGTTGATCTTGGACATGTCCTGGATCAGGAAGTAGATCAGTGCGCCGCGCTCGGCCACCGGTCGGTACTGCTCGCGCGCCATGTTAATCTCATTCTCCGTCTCCTTGGCCTGGACCAGCTGTTCAATGATCTCCTCAGAGGTCTTCTTGGTGTTGTTGAGGACTGAGAGGAGTTCGTGATCGTCCACCAGCGACCCCTCACTTTGGGCCAAACGGTACAGCAGACTGGCCTGGAGCTCGTCAAGCCTCTTCCTGTTCTCCACAGTGCTGTTCAGAAGCTCAAAACGCTGTTTTTCCAGATTCTGTAGATTGAACACAACAAAAAACCTGTTTTGAATGCGTGTGCATAGCTTGCAAAGAATCACCCTTTATCGATTTTTGTTGCAAAGTCAAGTACGTTTGCTCGTTTTGGCGATCGAGAATTGCCGGATTCTTCATCCCTTGATCAATGACAATACTCCTCTCAGATGTTTTCACTACCAATTATAATGATTCCCTATTTCAAATGTCGTATCCACTAGCCGTTGGCCATCATGAACACAAAGCAGAATTTGTCTAACAAACTGCAATACTCAGGTCAAGAGGCCTCTACATGGGTTTGTACTCAATGTCCATTGGCTGAGTTTGCTGTCCTCATAAATCACATCATGGATTTGCAATGAATCTTGTCCATTCATGTCCACCAACCCAGTCACCACACCCTGCCCCCTTTTCACGGCGGACCGTCTGCCCATAAAGCCCTGCTCAATCACCACCCCCACTACCCAATTCCCTCATCAGGTCACTGTCATTTGTACTTTAACGAGCTCCGACTTTGGGTGCTTGCTCACTGAGTCCGGCTGAGTAGGAGTGAGTCATTTTTGTTCCGCGCGAGTGCCTGCTATCGCCTGCCCTTGCCTTGTGGACGACCCAATTGCAGTACGAATGCTTTATCTGCATTCGGTGTTAGTTGAAAAAGGGGAATCCAGCGTCGCATTAAAAATCACATGTTAAAAAAGGGACTCCCAATGGCCGTGGTGCTCTTAGAAATTTCACAAACGGGCACTCAAACGATCCATGAACCTACCTCTCGTTCCTTACTGACCACCCGAGCCAGGAGTTGGTCTTCAAGGCCCTTGGCCGTCACATTGAAGTCAATAAGCACGGCGCTTGTGAGCAGATCAGGCGCGAATACGGGGTTGGATATCTGTGTGGTGATGAACAGCTGGAAATTCGGGTCCACTGACGTCTCGAAATCCCAAATTTTAACCTAACAAGGCGGCACACAATAAGTATTAAAAGATTAGCTCCGTAGTGCGAGTCTCAATCGAAGTAGAACACCATTCGTCTGACAGATAGCTGAAAACAGCACTGCCAACGGCATGGAGCCCACGTTGAGGCTGTTTAATTCCTAAAATTGCATACTTAAAAAAATCTAAGATGTGTAATTTAGATAGTTGTATCAGCAATAGACTCCTCATAATCCACCTACCTGTAGAGTGTTTCCAACACTGTAGAAGGACTGTTTCAGGACGTCTTCGAGGCCTGGATCTAGCCCCTCAATAATGCCCTCAATGAAGAGGTTCAGTCCGCAATTCAGGGCTCGCTCGACGTCCTGTCTAAACCGTTTGTGCGACATTGATGTGAACTGTCAATAGGCAAAATAGGAAACCGCATTTTACTTCACTTACTTATGGGTTTATTCAAAATCACATTTTGAGGGCTCTAATACATGCTTTGGAGATCGCTCGCATTTGCACCAGAACGCCATGCTTCGGGGTTGCTCTCAATTATGAACTAAGTCCCTTCACCAGAACTCGACTTAAAATGCCTCTTTAGATCACTCACATGCGTTTTCATGCGGAGAACTTCGGAAATCTAGTGCGTGTTAGTTCAGCAATGTGGATTAATTCAATCCGAGGCAAGAGCGATGCGCATTTGGAATGAGGCAATTATGAACTTTTTTACCGAATATGCATTTTGGTTAAAAGTAGCAACTGTATTTGGTTGCTGATACTGCAATAAATATCATAGCTCGCGTTGGATGGTGAAGCACTAACTGTGGATCCCAACAGACGACGTTGCGTTGCCTACGCCTACAAACCACGGTATGGAAGGATTTCGGGAGAGAAGTAGGCATTCTTGTGGATCGTGTTTATTCACACCCATTAATCCGGTCGCTCCACCTCCGACATAGGGTTCCCCTTTTCTCAGCATGTCGCCAGCCGCGCGGATCCTCAACTCCCCCTTCATTCGTACGGATATTTATCTTGGATTATCCTTACACCTAGGTCTCGATGTTAGCGCATTTATGACTCACACATCCGATCTATAAATACACACCCGCAAACCCCACACACGACACAACGACACCAACGTGGTTGAGCTCT